TGTTAAATTAAAAATAAGCTTCTCAGTCATGATCTTAAGTCTGGTTTTGATCATTTTTCCATGAAAGATTATTTAAGTTAAATTCTTTAAGATAAATCGGGTTTAGAAATGATTAATAGGCCGGGCCTGGTGGCTCAAGCCTGTAATCCCAGCACTTTGGGAGGCCGTGACGGGCGGATCACGAGGTCAGGAGATGGAGACCACCCTGGCTAACACAGTGAAACCCCGTCTCTACTAAAAAATACAAAAAAAAAAACTAGCCAGGTGAGGTGGCGGGCGCCTGTAGTCCCAGCTACTTGGGAGGCTGAGGCAGGAGAATGGCGTGAACCTGGGAGGCAGAGCTTGCAGTGAGCTGAGATCCGGCCACTGCACTCCAGCCCAGGCGACAAAACGAGACTCCGTCCCCTAATAAAAAAAAAAAAAAAAAAAAGATTAATAAGAGAAAGTACTTAAAGAACTACATCTGGAAAACAAAGCTGCCAAGTAGGTAAAGATAAAATTACTATCAAGCACCTACTATGTGCCAGGGAATGTTTTAGATGTTTTGCATTTGATCCTGCAGCCATTTCATGAATTAGCATTGCTAATTCCATTTACAGAGGAGCAAATTGACACTTTATAAGGATAAAAGACTTGACCAAGGTTACACAGAGTATTGCCTAGACCCTTTTGGATACAAGTAACAGAAAAATCCAATTCCAATTATTAAACAAGAATGGTATCTCACCTCAAAGCAGTCTATAGGTAGGTGGCTCCAGGACTGATTGATTTAGTGGCCCACCAGCATCATCAGGGACCCAGTATTTTCCCATCTTTTGTTCTGTCATTCTCAGTGTGGAGGTTCTGTCCTTTGGTTGTCTCCTCCCTTTGTTGACAGACGGTGGTTGCTGTTTCAGGCCCCGACATAATCAAATCCATGTGAAGAAGAGAGATTTCTTCCTGGGTGGCCCTTCGCAAGAGAAAGAAAATTTTCCTATAAGTCTTCCAGAAGAGTTCTTAATGTCTTAATGGTCAGAACTGCACCATGTGTCTAGGTTGAATAGATTTCAAAGACAGGCTTAGTGAGACACCAAGTGAAAGGGTGTGTCCTACTAGAACAAAACCAGTTCTCTCTGGAAGACGTGGGGAATGTGCATGTTCGTTGTTGGATACACACTAGCATTGTCTGCTACAAATACAGTAGAGTGGGGATTCAAACCTGTGTCTCATCCCAAACCTGCGTTTGTCTCTCGTTCCCTAAGTCACACGCATATGGGGGCTTACTATGTTTGGCTATTATGAAAAATGTGGTTGTAATAAACCCCAGATTTTGAGCAGTTTACACTTAAGATTATATTTGGGTTAGATAAATATTAAAATTTGTTCACTTTCTCTGAACATAGGCCAAATGGTGTGTGGAACCAGTTATGGTCTTATAGAGTGTGGCTTTCTAATAACAGGACCACAAGCATTTAAAACTTACTTCCTTCTGTTTGGTATTAATAATCTTTTTAACATAGTGTCCCCCTCCCTCTCTCCCCTACTGGGGAGTGGTGGCTAATGAGGTTGGAAAGGTAGAGAGATAGAAGAGGCCCTTGAATGTTAGGTTAAAGGATATAGATTTTTATCTTCCTTAAGGAATATGGAATCATTGAAAGTGTTATCCGGAGAAAGACATCACCCAAGCTATAATTAGGAAGATTAATTTGTCAGAAGTGGATGAGAAGAATTGAGAGAAAAATTTGAGGTGTTTACTTTTGTAGGGAGTATGACTCTCAGTCACCTGAGTCTGTTGTGCAAGAAATGCCCGTTTCCTTATTTTCTTCAGGTTGTGTTTCAAGTTCCATTCTGCTGGGCTTGTAGAAAATTCAGTCTGAATCATGATTTGGTATTCCTGCTTTCCCAAGTATGTTCTCGAATCTGGAAAGATGACTAGGAGTCTGGGAGTCCTGGGAAGGATTCCTAATTTCCATCCCATCGTGGTTGCCATGGACATCTTTGAAGCTGGGAGACCTCCTGTGGCTTAGGGCATAGGAGCTTGGTCTCTAGGGACGAGGCCACACAGCCATCTCCTCTGAAGTAGCGCTGCCTCTTCAGGGTGCTGCCATCAGTATGGCTTGGGCGGTTGCTCCCTTCACCCTCTCAGTCTCTGACCTTTGTAAACTGTATTCAGTGAAATTTATAGACCTTATTTTATAGTTTGATGTGCTCTGATGAATACTCACGTAAGCACACCCCAATCAAGATACAGAACATTCTTATCACTCTAGAAATTCTCCTGCGCTTCCTTCCAGTCCATCCTCTTCCCACCTGAAAGCAGTCACTCTTCTAAATTTTATCCTCATAGACTAATTTGCTTGTTCTAGAAATTCATATAAATAGAATCATGCAGGATACACTCTGTAGCGTCCTGCTCCTTTTACCCAACATTGTATGTGTGAGATTTACCCATATTGTAGAAATCAATAGTTCATACCATTTTGTTGTTTAGTATTTCTTTTTTGTTGCTGAGTAGTATTCCACTTCTTTTATCTTTAAGTCTTTCCCTCTCCTCTTGTTGTCCTCAAAAACACTAAATGTGCTTTCTTCAATAAAAGCCAGGAAGCCTTCACCTAAAGCCAAGGATGCTCAGGGTGCTCAGTTTTTCATGGAACAGAGAAGGGAAAAAGCAGCACAAAAGACACAAGTTAGTATCTCAGGCAATTGGCCTGCCACATAATTATCCAGAGAAGAGACTGTGAAGACCTGGATTAGGGTGGAGCATGGCAACAGGGAGGAGGGGGGCTATGAGAAGGCTAGTACAGTGGTGGCATTGATGGGGTTTAGGACATAATTAGACTTGGGGAAAGGCAGTGGAGGAAGGCCAATGCTGAGTTGTTTAGCCTGGGAGGTGACCGAGGTGCCTGGGGTAGAGGTGAGGATGGCGGTTGGTACAGTATCTAAAATAAGAGGAGCATATTTAGGAGGGAAAATGGTGAGTGCAGTTTGGTACCTGTTTTTTTTTGAGGGGTATATGGGAGATAATTTCCATGATCTAGAAACAGATCGCCAGTTCAATAGCATCTTCAGAACTACAAGTGAAGATGAAGGGTAATACATGAAGAGGTGAATGCTGAAACCTTGAGAAAGGAAAGGTAAAGGAGGGAAATAAGAACAGGACTTCGGGGAATGATATGCAGGAGACCCAAGGAAAAAGAGGAGTCAAAGAAGGAAGGAGGGGGTGGCCACAGTGTTAGGGTGGGTGGGTGCAGGGTATCCTGGCAACCAGGAGAGCAAAGGACATGAAAGAAACAGCTGGCAGAAATGCCAAAGCCTGCAGAGAGACGACAAAGATAAAGACTGAATGAAAGGTCATTACATTTCCCAATTGGAAGATCACTGGTGGCCTTTGAGGATTAACTTCAGAAGGGAAGTGGGAATTGGAGGATTGCAAGGAGCCCCGAAGTAAGAATAATGAGACAGCTCCAATCGTTGGAAACAACTTTTGTTATTATTACTTTTTTTTCAAGAAATATGCACTTAAAGAAAGAAAAAAAGCTCAAAGGGCTGGAGGATAGGTTGGAAACAGGTTGCTTGGGTTCGTTCCCCTGGAAGCCTCAAGCATACCTGTGCACTGAGGCTAAGGAGGCAGAAGTGAGAAGGGATGGGTTTGACTCAAGCTTCCAGAAGAGGTAAGAGATGGTGGGATGGAAAGTGAGAGAAAAGTAAGTTAATCCTGGAAAAGAGTGAGGGGTCAGTCCTCTTCTTGGAAAGCAGTGGAGAAGAGGATGGGTGATACATTCCAGGGTGAGGAGGGAGCAGTCCCAGCTCTGGTGGTCTCCAGCATGACCACAACCCCTCAAGAGGTTTTTGTTGTTGTTTTTTTTTTTTGCTATATTTACTCTGAGTACATGAGATTTATAAAATGTGCCCTTTAAGGACCAGGAGGCAGGATTTTGAAGCAGCACACGTAGAGGAGGCCTTTTCTAACAGCTACAGGCAAGACGGTAGAGCAGAGATCATCCCCCAAACGTCATTCTGTAACCACTCTATTGTGTTCGTAGCAAATGGCAGCAAGCCCTAGCTTAGGAACCTTATTATGAAGCGTTAATAAGAGACACTGGGCACATGTCCTTTGATCAGATTAATCAGAGGCCAAGCTACACAGCATTAACAATGGAGATTAGCATTGGCTGGGTAGGTTGGCAAGGCGAAAGTGGGAAATACCAGACCTTGGATTCAGAAGCACTTGTTTGCACTCGTTTTCAGAATTATATCTGCAGCACAAAAGGGACGCCCAGCAGATTGAATTGGCTTCACAATTAACATGATGCTTGCAAGCACACGGTTTGCTCAGGCTTGAATTGTTCTGTGCTTCTTGAATGCACATCGTTGGTGGTACAGGGGAGCAGTGATGCTGTGGTGTTTTCTACCTGACCTCCACAGTCCTGGCTATGTGCTGGAGGGCTGTGTTTGCTAGAAATCTGGCTACTCTGTAAAGGAATGTTACAGTTCTTGGAAATTCTAGTGAGTGTTCTCAGTATGCCCAGTGCAACAGGCCCAAATATACATCTGTTAAACATATAGGAATGTATTTGCTGACCTTCTAGGGAGAAGGCACGGATCCAAAGCTGCCCCACTCACTCACGTAGTGGTGGCTTCTTTATTCTGTATTACAGATTTTATCACTGATACCTCTGGAAGAAAGTGTCACTTCCCACCTCCTTTTCCCACTCCTGTGGATCTTAAGAATTTTTGTCAGTTGGGCCGGGCGCAGTGGCTCAAGCCTGTAATCCCAGCACTTTGGGAGGCCGAGATGGGCGGATCACGAGGTCAGGAGATCGAGACCACCCTGGCTAGCACGGTAAAACCCCGTCTCTACTAAAAAATACAAAAAACTAGCTGGGCGAGGTGGCGGGCGCCTGTAGTCCCAGCTACTCGGGAGGCTGAGGCAGGAGAATGGCGTAAACCTGGGAGGCAGAGCTTGCAGTGAGCTGAGATCCGGCCACTGCACTCCAGCCTGGGCGACAGAGCGAGACTCCGTCTCAAAAAAAAAAAAAAAAAAAAAAAAAAAAGAATTTTTGTCAGTTTCTTCTCTTATCATGGTCTAACCTCAGACAACTTACAGTGGGTGCCACAGGTGTTAATATACAAAAGAATAAACAATACAGCTGGGGTGATCTCTTCTTTCTGGAAGATTACTGTACTCAAAGACACAACATTTTCTAAACATTTAGAAATGAATTCCTAAAATTCTATCAATGCAAACCGAGTGGGAATAATTCAGAAACTGAAGGCTGCAATGGTTTGTCTCCTTCCAAATTCAGCCTTCCTTCCCCTCTCCCACAATGACCCCGGCCTTTTTTTGCGTATAAATTACCTCTGCCTGGGGTTGGATGGGGCACTGTGCTAAACCTCTGGGAGAGGATGTGCTCTAGGCCTCCAGGAACTCATACTCTGTGACAGATGGTGGCAAATTAAACTGGCAGTTGAAAAAGCCAGAGTGTTTCCAGGGCTTCTGCTAGAGGAGTGGTTCCAGAGGGGTAGAGTCAGGCAAGATGAATAGCTGGAAAGTGGCCAAAAGCAATCCGTGCTCCGCATCAATTTGGTTAATAAATACTGCCTGAAAACCTATGTAGAAGAAGCTATTCCAGACCCTGTATGTGCACACAAAGATAAAAGAGACCTTTTTCTGTCCTATAATCTGGTAAGACTGACAACACACTGAAGGGAGCAGCGACAATGCTAGGCTGGACAGGGGTAGGAACAAAGGCTGATACAAGAGTGAGCCCAAAATTACAACTGTAGTGTGAAAATGTGTGTGGATGGGTGAGCCTTGAATGACATGATAAGAATGAGAGAAACTGAGTCCTGGGGCTGGCCAGGACCCTAGGAATGATCTAAGCAATCCCCTCAATTTAAGCATGAGGAAACTGAGATCCCTCCCTAGCAAAGTGAAGTGACTTGTCCAAGGTCAGGGTCACTCAGGTGCTTGATACTCAGTGATTTAATAGTACAAATAATACAACCAGTGGCTAAGATGATGAAGCACCTATTCTAAGTGCTTTAGATGTACTCACTAGATTAACTAATCACATCCTCACACCAGCTTATTTTCGCTTAACAGATGAAGAAACTGAGACAGAAGAGGGTAAATACCTTGCCCAGTCATGGAGCTGGTAAATGTTGGAAATGAGACTTGCCCAGCGGTTGGGCTCCTGGGCCTGTGCTCCGAACTTCTGGGGTACATGGCCCCTTGGCCTCTGATTCCTGGGCCAGTGCTACTTGTCCTGGAACCGGGCCTGGAAGGGACTGGGGAGACACTGTACTCTCCTAAACAAGGGAGTGACCTGATGAAGGTGGCATTTAGTGATGCTTCGTATGGCTTCAGTGGTCAAGGTGGACTAGAGAAGAAATGGAGAAGGGAGACCAGGTAGGACATGAATTAAATTCAGTTATGATGCACATCTGGACTGCAGCAGGTCTGGAGAAGATGGTGCTGGACTGGAATGGTTAGTCAGCAGTCATTTACTCCACGGGATGAACTAGCCTGCCCTGTTGCTTATCCTGTGGGAAAAGAAAAACAACTGAAGGAAGGAATGGAGAGGGGAGAAAACAAAAAGGAGAGGAGGAATAGTATGTAAAGGGAAGGGGCAAAGGAGCAAAAGTAGAAATGGAACAAGACTGGTGATGACTTCACAGTATTTCCTCACCTAGTCCCTGGCCTTTTGGCTATAGTTTAAACTATCAATTTCTGTCAATTTCTCATTGAAGGAATAGAACGGGAACGATGCCATCCTAATGAGCACGAGACCTTAACAAGGTAGTAGAGATCTCACGAGAAACCCAGCTGGGGTCCACAGATCAGGAACTCCCACAGGGAAGGACTTGCCACCCCAGTGCTAGGACCCCATCAGCATACAGCAGACACTGATAGGACCCCATTAGCAGATAGCAGACAGCTATAGGCTGTAGAGACCCTCCTCGTCCAAGGTCGCAGCCTTCATGGAGCAACCCGCATCCAGCTACTGACTGACACAGAAGGACAAGGCCAGGCCATTTTAGCCCAACATGGGTAAGCCCGACAGGCCATTAAAACTCCAAAGCTCCCTGTAGGGTGGGCTGAGGCTGCTGCTGTGCCCTCTCACAGCTCAACTCCTCCCTCTACCCACTCCTGCCTCGTCTCCCTTCCTTCCACAGGTGTGGATCCGAGAACACTCCTTAATAAACCTCCTGCCCACTGAACTCTGCTCAGAGTCGGCTTCCGGGGAGCCCAGGCAGCATCGCAGAGGCTCTCTGTCCGCCTCATCCCTCCGCAACGAAACTCCAACTTCCTCCTTCTGGTTAGGGAGTGCCTCTTCCTCCTGCACCGTGCACTTCCTCCACAAACCGTGTGCATCACGGGCGGTGATCTTTCCTGTGGAGACGGCCTGCTCTTCAGCTGGGGCAGAGGCTTAATGGCCCCCCTTGCTGAAGCCTTCAAACAGGCTGGGGGCAGGTTGCTTTATCTCCCCGTTGACTGCAGATGTATACAGAACATGGAATCCCTTGACATTTTTTTTTTTTTGATTGAAGCTTTTTGTTTTTAAATTTCTGTGAGACCCACTGGGTCAGGCTTCAGGATCTGCCGATAGACCTTTGTCAGCAGGGGTGTGTGTGTGTGTGTGTGTGTGTGTGTCTAAATGTAAGTAACCACCAGAGCTTGCTTCAGTAGTCAAGGAGAATTCATTGTTTTAATAGAATAACTCATGAAGTTCAAGGGCCAGAATGCAGCCCAGCGATGTGGACTGCCTCAGGGCATAGGCAGAAGGGCCTCTCCAGCTCTCTCTGCTCTGGGCTGGTACTCACGCTGCAGGCCAGGCAGGGCTGCTGCTTTGTGCACATGGCAGAGGCAGCATGCCCCTGAGTGCCGGGATCCACCCCACCGCAGATCCAGCCACACTTGTTAGTGGTTTCTGAATACTGCTTCCAGATCTCAAGAGAGTGAAACTCTGACTGCCCAGCTTGAGCGAGTGGGCAACCCTGCTCACCCTGCTGTTAGGGGGCTAGTCCCACAAACATGGCAGACATCCCCTGACCTCCTACAGGGGGTGCAGACTGTGGTGAACAAAGGGGACGACCCTCCACAAAGGGCCCATGACATGGTGTGAGCATGCGCACAGTGGGGTAGGTGCACCAATTAGACAATGTTTGCATGCGATATGACTAGATTTCTCAAGAGACAACTCTCATAGATCAATGTGCCCGTCACAGAGGAGCAAGGAGTATGCTTGAGAGGAAGAGACAATGAGTAGCTATTTGAATTCATTGTGAACCGGGCAAACTGTAAACAGGGATGACACTGCTTCCCACATAGTCACATACACAGCATCACGAAGTTAAGAAGATCAGCCACATTGAGTGTGGCGCTCTCCTCCTCTTGGAGCAACGTTTCCATTGACATTCGGAGAGGCGCGCTGCCCCCAGATGCTCGTTTTCAAACACAGGACGTGAGCAGTTTCACAAATATCCACCAGATGGTACCTTCCTACCAGAAATTAGGTTTCAGGTTGTGAAAATCCAAATTGTTTTTCCACTCTACGGACAAGCTATAGAATCAGATGCCTGCCCTGGCTACGGTCAAAGGAAAGAAAATGGGTGAGAACCAATTCCAGGGGACGACCCACAGTGTTTTTATTCTCAGGAATACGAAAGAGAAGTTGCAGGGTCTTTGTGTGGTGGAGGGAGGGAGCTGCTGTGGATGAGTCATGGAAAGGCTGCGTGCAAGGGAAAGACCTTGAGGTTATCTCCTGAGAGGGATTGGTTGTAAATATCCTCAATGGCATCTTTGTTTTATCCCACTGGTTGCCAAATACCTGTGAGTCTGCACAGCACTCCTGGAATGCTCAGAAATGATGACTGGTTACCCTGTCAAAGAAGGCCTTTGTTGGAGAAACTTCCTCATTTGTTCAGGCCTTTGGGTTGTAAGCCCTGAGCCGTAGTCTCCCCAGGTTGTCTGCCTGTGTGGGCTGGGGAGGGTAACGGATGTTCACCATGGGGTGACCCCCTTGTCCTGGTTTGGCAGGTGCCTTCCTGCCTTTAGCACTGACAGTAAAGCAAACCCAGGCGGTTGGTTATCTCGGTGCACTGAGCTGTACACACTAGGGACAATGCTGGATCCTCACGCAGGTTCAATAAGCTGGGCAATTTGAATATCTTCACATTATTAATCATTTTATTCTTGGCATTTGCTTACCAGATCTCCCTGCTTCATTTTGCCAGGGAGGCTTATGTCAGAAAAGGTAAAGTTATGGAGAAAGAGGTTTTTTCTTGGCTTTTGAGTTCACACATTACAGAGGTAAAACCGAATAGATGTGGGAGAACGTGGTAAATAGATACAACTTTCCTGGGTTGGGGAGAGAAAAGAGAATAGTGAAACTCCGTCTCCACTAAAAATACAAAAATTAGCCTGGCATGGTGGCACGCGCCTGTAATCCCGACTACTTGGGAGGCTGCGGCAGGAGAATCCCTTGAACCCAGGAGGTGGAGGTTGCAGTGACTCTGTTCCCTGCATTGGAAGTGCTCCCCACCAAACTCTCTAACAGAAGGGGTGGGATTTGCAGGCTCCCTGGGTGGCGTGCTTTCAACACCTTGTGGGCTGCCTTCCACTCTGGTATTCTCCTCTGCCTGCTGATGCTTGAAATCCCTTGAACCGGCCACACAGACCTGCATTCTGGAATCAGAGATAAGACTGGAAAGGCAAGGTTTCCTGGGACGGGAAAAGAGTGATTTAAATTTTCGCCGAGGTGTAAGCTGCGGATGGCAGGTTCTTTCCTGAGAACCGCCTTCAACTAGGAGGAGGAGGTTGGAAGCAGGACCCTGAGCTGACCCGTCGATCAGGAGAAGAGTAAGCAGAAAGGAGGGACGCGTGGGTGGCAGGAGAGAAGGCTGGGAGCCAGGGTGGGGGTCGCTGCCCCCAGCCCCGCGATGCTGAGCTGATCCCCACATTCCACGCTAATGGGTCTCTGTTTTGATTTTACAAGACTAAAAAGTAGTTTTCTAAAAACATTCTGGAATGCAAAAAGGTTCCCACTATTTATTTACTTACATAAGACTATTAACAACAAACAAACTCTACCACGTATAGTCACCACCATTCACAAAAGAAAGGATGTTTGAATGACAAAAAAGTGAAAACGACAATCTCCAAGTAGGATAATCCTTTACATTAGATGCACATAGCTTTATGGAAGAAGAATGACTGTTTTGCTGTTTTCTACCCCCCTTAGCCGTGATCCCATGAAAATGCTGGCAGAGACTGGCATCCAGGCACCAACTGGCTTTTGCGAATCACTCACTGTTCCCGCCCGGATTCTGAAGCCCGGAGCCGTTTATCGTTTGAGGCACCTTGCTTCCCCCTGGTGGCCACAGGGAGTTACTGTCGCGGCTAAAAGGGCGTCACAGTGTATACACAGCGCGCCCTATCCCGCCATACATTCTCTGCTTTTTGAACACCCGCCGTGGGCTAAGCAGGGGACCCATGTGGGATGCAGACACATGGAGAAGAAGAGAGCCAGGCCCTTGCTGCCAAGGAACTTTCTTATAACACCGATGCTTCAAACAAAAGGTAGTGAAAGTTGCTGGGTTTGTGCGTTGAAATGTCTTTCCCTTCAACTCCCCAACAAGGTGCTTTTACTCCCTCTTATCACCACTGCCTGCCAGAGGCAGTAAACTTGGGTCCAGCTGGCCCCTGTCAACCTACATAACCACACAGTGAAAGGCTCTGTAAAAGAAGGCATTTATTCAGGAGCAGAGCATTGCAATGGTAATATGCATGCCACAGTAAACTATGTGCATATTCAAGGAGGCAAAGGAAGAAAGGAAGAGAAAAGTTTTCAAATAAAAAGTGAGGAGGATTTCATACTTGTTTTGAAATGGTTATCCTTGGTTACAAAGATCAATAACAAAGGGATTGCCAGTCCAAGGTTAGACGGGCAGTTGCTGGGCGGATGTCCTTGCGGAGGATTTTTATTTTTTATTTTTTTTAATGTGGAAAGCTGTGATGGCCTTTGTGCAAGGTTGTGGTTTTGCAGAGTCTTTTGTGTTGGTTTTTGTTATCAGGCATACAAATGTAGGAGCCCTTTCTTCTTGGCCTTCCCTAGCTCTATTTGTCAAGTTTCCTCCCACCCCCAGATGGAGTCTTGCTCTGTCCCCCAGGCTAGAGTGCAGTGGTGCGATCTTGGCTCACTGCAACCTCCACCTTCCGGGTTCAAGCGATTCTCCCTCCTCAGCCTGCTGAGTAGCTGGGATTACAGGTGACCGCCACCACGCCCAGCTAATTTTTGTATTTTTAGTAGCGATGGGGTTTCACCATGTTGGCCAGGCTGGTCTCGAACTCCTGACCTCAGGTGATCCGCCCACCTCAGCCTCCCAAAGTGCTGGGATTACAGGTGTGAGCCACTGCACACAGCCTGTTGAGTTTTTTTGGGTATTGTTTGGTTTTGCTTTTTTTTTTTTTTTTTTTTAAGAAAAAACATTAGTAACTCCGTTTTGATTCTTACCACTTCCACACCACCTCGCACTATATCTCCAGCCCTGCAGGGACAGCTGGTCTTGTAGACTCTGGCAATTCTGGACAATAATCTCACAGACAAACCATGATTACTCATTTCCCTGGGGAATGGCTGCTCTCAGCCCTTCTACAACCCCAGTCCTACTTACTTGGTTATCTCCTGGCCAGGCAAACCTCCTTTCCCCATGAAGTCCTTCCATGCCTGCTCTAAACCCACATGGCCTCTTTATTTTCAGGAATTCTCTCTACCATTATTATTATTATTATTATTTTTAATTTTTATTTTCCAAGTAGCCATGAAGTTCTCCAATGGCTAAGGCTGTGTTATACCAATTTTCTACCCGTCCTTCCTTCTCAAATTATGTCCCAGAGCTCCCAAGTTTCTCTTTTATTATGTACAGAAACTGTCTTCTTCCTTTCAAATATTGAGGCTACACTTAGGCCTCTTCAACATATTCCCTCATCAGAGATGGGAAGTAGTTAAGTCAGGATAGGCTAAGTTCTTTGGCAGTAACTGTCAGGTCTCTGAGCCAAAGCTAAGCCATCATATCCCCTGTGACCTGCACGCACACATCCAGATGGCCAGTTCCTGCCTTAACTGATGACGTTACCTTGTGAAATTCCTTTTCCTGGCTCATCCTGGCTCAAAACCTCCCCCATTGAGCACCTTATGACCCCCCAACCCCTGCCCGCCAGAGAACAACCCCCTTTGACTATAATTTTCCTTTACCTACCCAATTCTATAAAACGGCCCCACCTCTATCTCCCTTCGCTGACTCTATTTTCAGACTCAGCCCGCCTGCACCCAGGTGATTAAAAAGCTTTATTGCTCATACAAAGCCTGTTTGGTGGTCTCTTCACATGGACGCGGATGACAGTAACAATCCCCAATCTCTGTGGCTTAAAATAACAAGGTTTATTTCCTCCTGAGGTTTCATGACGACCGTGAATCACTTAAGGATAGGGTTGCCAGATTTAGCAAAGAAAAATACATGACATTCAAATTTGAATTTCAGATGATCGGCGAATTTTTTAGTGTAGGTATGTCTCAAATATTGCATGCTGAAAATTATTACTTTTTCCTAAAATTAGTCAGATGTAACTGGGCATCCTGTATTTGAGCTGACAATCTTGCTGAGAGGTCTGCTCTGTGTCTTCACTCAGGACTCAGGCTAACGGTGCCTCCACACGTCAATATCCGAGAAGAGAGAAAGGGGATGTGGAAATTTGCACAACGGCTCTTGAAGTTTTTCGGGTGGAGGAATCCACAGCACTTCCCATCGCATCTCTTTGACCAAGGCTATCCAGGAGGCCATTCCTAACCTGGAAGGGGTGGGGAAATGAAGTCCTTACCCTGTGCTCAGAAGGAGTGAGCACTAGGTTACCTGTAAACAGCCCAAATCACCACCACGGTTAGAGATATTTCCATAACTGCTGTTAGGAAAAAGTGATTTCTCCATCTGATTAAAAAACAAAAAAATTAGAGGTGAGGGTGGGGGTGAAGGCAAAAGAAAAAAAAAAGAAATTCATATTAAGCATAATCTTTTTCCTTATTATTTCTATCTAGTGGTTAACCATTGCTTTCTAGTGAGCAGAAAAAAGCTTTCCATACACTACTTAAATATGTGAAAATAAGTAAATGTTGCATTCCCTTATCTTTTCTTCTCAGGATTAAGTGTCTCCCCATTTTTTTTTTTTTAACCACACTTTCCTCGTATGATGTAGTTTCCAGAACTTTATTTACCATTGGTAATATATACTAACCGAATTGTAGCAGGCTGTGTTCACTAAGTGAGCTCAGTGGGAGAAAAAATTTAAAAAGTAGTTTCTGGTAAGGAGAATCCAAAGATGACTTTTTGCCTAGATCCCTGGGTTTCTTCACCAGCATCGCCTATGGAAGATCAGCAGCTTCTCAACCCTCAACCACAATGGAAGCACCTGGAGAAATTAATCAGTGCTGCGGAGGCTTCTCTGCCAGGGACTCTGATTGAATCCGCTTTGAGTGGTCCTGGGTATCTGTATTTTTTAAACAATGTTCTTCTGTTATCTAGAGCTGCATAACAAGCTAACCGAAAAGTAAGGGTCTTGGAGCGAAAGTAATCATTTTATTTATTTATTTTTTCCAGACGGAGTCTCGCTCTGTCACCCAGGCTGGAGTGCAGTGCCGTGATCTTGGCTCACGGCAACCTCCACCTCCCGGATTCAAGCGATTCTCCTGCCTCAGCCTCCTGAGTAGCCGGGACTGCAGGCGTGCGCCATCACGCCCGGCTAATTTTTGTATTTTTAGTAGAAATGGGGTTTCACCATGTTGGCCAGGATGGTCTCGTGATCCGGCCGCCTTGGCCTCCCAAAGTGCTGGGATTACAGGCGTGAGCCACGGCGCCCAGCCTCATTTTATTATCATCCTTCATGGTTCTAGATACAGACTACACTCAAACATAGAAGAAACCAATTTACATTGTAAGAGAATTGCACAGGCAAAGGAGCCAGTGGCCGGAGTAAAGAGACTGTGCTTGTCTGAGGCTTAAAACAGCCTGTGGACTCCAACATCTGCAAGTAGGAAGCAGGCTGAAGGCCAGCTTGGCGCCCCAGGCAGTGCGCACTCTTTAAGGTCCTTTGCAGCTACAGCTCAGGCAGGTAGGAAATTGAGAGGCCCTCCCGGTGGGCAGAGCCTGGGGCCAGAGAGAACAGTGGGGCAGAAAGTTGCTCCCAGGGAAAACAATCAGTGGGGCTGGTCAAGGAATATTCCCCACCCTTAGGAAAAGGGCTGCTCACAATGTCCCCTGGGGGGACTTTAAAATGACACGGGTCAGTGACTCCTGTGTGCCTCCCATGCTTCTCTTTCCAAATGAGAGTGTTTATTGTGTCCCTGTCCCCAGTTGCATACTGGGATTGTGTGTGGAAGCAGGTGACTTGCCTTGTTATTTCTTTGGTGTCCCCATCTAAAGGAGGCGTGTCCAAACCTGCTCTAGACAGGCTTGTGCTTTGGCACAGATCCTGGACTTTCAGCTCTGAGCAGTGCCTGGAGGGGAGTTTTGGGTTGTGTCCCCTGGGGAGCAGTAAGTGTGTTCTACTGTGAGAGGAGGGGAGAGAACTGTGTGTTTGGTAACCAGAGAACAGACTGTGGAGGATCATACGAATGTTCACCAAATACTGTGTCACCCTCCTCTGCAGGGCTTCCCCCTGCAGCGGGAGGATTCTACATCCTTGCTCTGTTGAATGCAGTGTGACCATTTGACTTGCTTTAACCAATGACACACGCATGTAAGTGACAGGTGTAGCCTCTGAGCAGAAGGATTAAGAATCACTGTGTTTACCTTTCCCTCTGTGACAGCAACTGGCACTGTCCCAGACAGAAGCTGCTGTCTCAGTCCTGGTCCTGGAGTAAAGATGATGCAGAGCAAAGCCATAACTGACTCACGGTGAAGGCAACATATGAAAAATTAACCTTTTGTTGTTGCAAGCCCTTGGATGCTCTCAATTCATGGGGAGGGCTTGGGGACCCTGGGAACCCTAACAGGGCCTGAGTTCTTCTTGCACAATAGCTCTCAGCTGCAAAAGGACACAGCCCATTTCAGGCACTCAGTTTCCCTGTCCTTCCTGAGAAAATGGAGTTCCCCTCCACATGTCAGCAGGCTTGACATCAGGAAAACAGTAGTTGACAGAGAGCTTCCGGGGGGTGCCAGCCTCCAGACAGCCTCCTATCCACAGTACAGGTCTCTGTGAAGCAGAAATTGTGAGGAGTTTTTGGCTATCCGGGTTCTAGGTTGATGAAAGGCAGCTGAACACAGCAGACATTTTGAGATGGTGGCAAGTCAGGGGAGCCTCTAGGTCCTACTTGTTGGAGGTCTTTTGTTGCCCTGTGACTTCCCATCTTTGGCTTCCTCATTAGGTATTAAAGACATTGGCAGTGACACTGGAATGGATGCAAAGATGGGAGAGGTCTACCCACAGCCCATTCTACAGAGCAGAACTGAGGCTCACATGTTGAGGTTGATTAAAGATGGCTGCCAATTCTGTGCTACTTGTCCCATTGAGCTGTGAAGTCTTATTCCCCTCCTTGGGTCCAGAGCAGCCTTGATGACTTGCTTATTACAATGTGCTAGAAGTGATGGTGCATGACTTCCAAGGTTAGATCAGAAGAAGCCTTGAAGTTCCTGCCTTGGTCTCCTGAAACACTCTCTCTAAGTGTCAGCTTACCGTGTAAGAAGTCTGATGCCCTGAGACCGCCATGTTGGCACAGTTATGGGTGGATGCTCCAGTAGACGGATCCAGCTGAGCCCAGCCCTCCAGCCATTCCCGCCCCCAAACCATGGGTGAAACTGTTGTGGACCCTCCAGTCCAGCCCACTCAACATCTAAATACCACAGACTGACCTCAGCTGATACCATCACCCAGCTAAACTGTCCCTGAAACTGACCCGCAAAATCACGAGATAAGCTAAAATGGTTGTTGTTCTAAGTCACTAAGATAATAGAGCAGATATATATGCACTTAACGCTCTCTCCTGGGGGCCTGCTTTTCCTTTCCCCATTTTGTGTTGCATGCCTGGTTGTTCTCACAGATTTCACAAGTCGGGAGGTGCGATGAGCCTGGGATATTCATCTTTAGCAGAAACGACCCAGATAAGCTCTTCATTCAAACAGGGTTTGGGCTGCACTGCAATTTTGTTGTCAAATTGGATTTGGAGGTGCTCAGGTTTAGTGAGCACCTCCGTGGGAAAGAGAACTCCGTTGGATGGTAATGTAAGAGGACTCTGCCTACAGAAATAAGGTGAGACAGCTCACTGCAGTTTAACAATTGTATCATGTGCTTAACTAATCTCTTTCTTACAGTTACTCTTTGAAGTGAGTATTATTTCCATTATATAGACAAGTAAATTGAGGCCAGGTAGCACAAGCAGTAAGTGCCAGATGGGATTTCAAACCAGGCTTATTCATCAAATAGGCTACCATGAGGTTAATGCCTAAGAGACAGACCTAAACATTCATTTTATAAATGGGAAGACTGAAGACCAGAGAGATAAGTCGTTTTGCTGCTGTGCTCTGTAACTAACCACGCATTTTCTGGCCAGTAGACTCCAGCCTGATCCTCAAGGGTCTCTGGAGTGTAACCCAAAGCCATGCTGAGTGTCTTCAGGAGTGCTATTTTAGGAGGGAAATAGAAGAGATGATATCTGTACTGCCATTTCTAGTATGTTCCCAGAGAAAGCAAGTCCCTCATCACCTTTCTGTTTCACTCCTGGCAGAAGGGTGGGGACTGTGATTTGATGGATGAACAGTTGGTGGGTCCAAAATACTGGATTGCTATCATGTGCTTTTCTCTGGAGAGAGCACCCTCTCATAAAAACATCCAACCCTGTGGTCTGGCAGAGGTCACAAAGATGGTTCCGTCTTTGCTCCAGAGCATGGAAAACGGGAGATACAGTAAATCAGTGGGGCTATTCTGGGATCATAGGCTACTCAAAAGGCCATTCCTGGCTTCTCTTGCATCTCTCAGGCTGCCTGGATGCGGGATCCAAGTCAGCATCCATCAGCAGCAGGGGGAGTGGTGCAGAGGCTGATGTGGAACATTGCATATTTACAAATAGAACAAGGACCCGGTGTGACTTGGATAAAGAGAAGTCCAAATACAGTCAGAAATTCTAAGTTGAAATCACTGTGGAGATTAAGTATTTATGAAGCACTTTGTACCCACAAAATAAATTTGAGTCATTTATCATCCAAACTCACAGTATCGTAGTAACATATAAGTATCTGGGTTATGGCTAAGGACCCAAACTTGAAGTACTACCTGTATAAAAAGAGGACATTTTTATGCACTTGGGTCCTGTTTTTAATGCTATTGTGGAGCAAAATCAAGAATTTACAAAATAAATACCTGAGTCTTAATCCAGACCCATCATGACTGTGCAAACCTGTAATTCTCTCCTGTGGCACTTCTGAAGTGGTGACTCCCCTGTTGCAGGCAGCAGTGAAAGGCAGATTCTTTCTGACAAATCTCTAATAACCCTTTCTTCTTTGTCTCACAACATGATGATTTGCCTTTGTGTAGATCTTTGTGTTCGGAGATGAGCAGATGACAGACTGGGATGCTGGAGATTTTGAATGTGCACCCGGCTGAGAAGACCACACCAATGGGCCTATATGCAGAATTCAAGGTGAAAACTGCTTTGGATGGTGGTAGTTGAAGCTGTTTGCAAAATCAGGAACTGAGGGTGGCCCTGCTGGTCATCCAGAAGCCTCCAGGAAGTCATAGCTGTGTCTCATTTCTCCTCTGACTGTTCAAATGACCTCTTTTACAAAAATACTTCTCTACTTAATCTACTCTCTCTTTCCAATTGTCTAAAACCCCACTTTACTTCTTAGAATTATTGACCATAGGATCTAAAAGGAATTGTATAGATTATTTCATCCAACCTTCTTATTTCATTAATGAGGAAACTGAGAGTCTAAAAGGTTAAAATAAGACCAGAATCCAAGTATTTCAAGTCTTCTTTCAATCTTGTAATATTTGATTTTGTTAAATATGTATCCCATAGCTACACTGAATGCTTTTTACTTTGGATTCTTCTCCATCCCCTAGTGTGCCTTACTCAGGGCTTGTTCATAGCAAATAAATGTCTGATCAGTAGTTGACTGGTAATGGCTGCCTGGAGTGCTGTCCTGAGGAGGAGTCAGTGGAATAGATCTAATGGTTTCTCTCCAAATGTGACCTCTACTGAGATAACTTTGACCACCCTAGCTAAAAAGTGTTCTCTCTCCCCCATTCCCCCAGGCACACACTATCCCCTTTCCTTGCCTAATTGTATTTACTTGCCTAATTGTATCCTATCACCACTCATTATTTAAAATTATTTTTCTTGTCTATTGCCTTATTTCCCCACGAGAATGTAAGTTCCAAGAGGGCAAGGACTTTGTCTTGTCCTCTGCAGGATCTGCTGTGTTTGTTAGAGTGCTGACATGTAGGAATCACTCAATAAATAATTGTGGAGTAGATGGCCAAATGCTGTAATTGATTAGTGATGTCTGCCATGGGCAAAGGAGAGACAAATTACCAGGGTC